TCAATAATATTAAAACTAACTTCGAAGATAATCAACGTCGCTAAAAACAATAATAATTTAAATAACTTACTCTACGCAAACTAAACTTTGCAGTCTTTAAAAAACAGTCACATTGATACAATCATTACGGACTACTATATCCAGGTACTGAAGTTTAATAATAACATTTACTTAAAAATCTATCATAGTTCTTTTTTCTTATGCATAATAGAGATCAATAGGTGTACGTTAAGAAACTTATTTTTCAAAAACATTAATATTATTTAAAAATTTATAGTAATCAACCCCTCTTTTGGCTTGTACTTCTGGACAATCAAGTTTCCTAATTATATCTTCATACGCTATGTATGATACATCTTTCTCATCTGTAACAAACAGTTTTCCGCCTTTTACGCACTTCAAGAATACCACTTTGATTTTGCCGTCCTCTTCAATGTCGCTTTGTGCAATGCATGCATACGTATGGAACGATCGACTAAAATCACAGCTTCATTTGAACGGATCTCATCAACACTTTGTCGAAAATTCCTGTACTGGGTTTTCATATTAAAAACATGTTTCTTTAGAGTTTTCATTTCTTCTTCAAAATCCCTTACCATGTTTTCTACTGTGTCTTCCTTCAGTTTTTTTACGTTCTTGACAGTTTTCATTTTTGTCCCTTCTTTCAGGTAGGTTTCCATTTCTCTCACCCACTCAAACCATTGTATTTTATCTTTAACAGCATCTACGTTTATTTTGATTTTTTTATTCTTACAGTCTTCACAAATCCCTAACATGCAATCATGTTTATTAATGTCACAAACAGTTTCCAAAATCAGTGTACTTAGGTTAGTGCTATCGATTACTTTTCTATTTTTTAAAGCTTTTATTTTAACTGCTGCATTTGTGTGTGTTCTACAGAGACACATATCCCTGCCATCCACAGTTGGTCTAACTATATAGAAGGGTCGATGTTTAGTGAAATAGTAGTAGGAACATTTGATATCCGGATTCTCGGACCTAAACGCTTTAAATAGGTTTTTCATGGAGTCCAAGAGGAACCGTTTCTGTGCCTTCTATATAGTTAGTGCTTTTGGTAACGGTCTCTTTTTTGCCGGCAGTATTTCTTGACACATCATCTCTTAAAAAACATGCTATCTTATTTTTCAGGACCGTATTTCCACTGCATGCACTTTTAGTTGTTCTCATTCTTCCTTGTAAACCTAAACCCTCTTTTATGATTTTATTCTTTTCAGATGCATTTATGTCTTTAAAAATATTTTTCAATATTGTTTTCTCTTTTCGGATTTTAATTTTTTTATATCTTTCTCTAATGGTATTTGTTAAAGTTTTATATTTGTTGTGGTATCCTTCAGTACTTATACCTGCATTTATTTCTTCTGACTCTTTTTCTTTAATCTTACGTATTTCTTTTTCCTTGCGAGCAGCTCTCTTTTTATATTTTTCATATTTTTTCTTCCACATCTGAGCTTCGCTTAGTAATCGTAAGTTTTCTTTATATAATTTAGTTCTATCTCGACGAACCCTTTTTCTTCCGTTTTCTTTATTTTTATGATTTGAAAACACATCGGGACTTGGAAGCGGAGTGGGTACATTTTGGGCTAGGGGTATATTTATTTCCTGCAGAATGGACGGGGAGCTTGGAGGTGTAACGGCAAGTACGTTTTCAATTGTTTTAATTCGTTTTCTTTGTTCTTGTTTTCGCAATTTCTAAATAGTCCTGCAATGTTTTTGTTCGCTCGGCTGCATATTTGAAATCAATTTTTTGTTCTTATGATAGCTTTCTCTCTTTCTTCTTTTTCGTTCAGCATATTTTTCTGGGTCCGCTTTGAGTTTTTCTCTATAGCGTCTCGATTTTTCTTTTTCAGACATTCCCATTCTATAAAATAAATACCAAAAATCATATAGAACAACTATTTTAAACATGTAAAGCCAGGAAAATTAATAAAATTTGTAGTTTTATTATACAAAGAATCAAACTGCACGAATTGGTCCTACGGACAACCAATCATGTCCCATGGACAACCAATTTGGTTGTCCAGACGACAGGTTGTCCAAGGGACTTTTTTTAAAATTTAAGCTACCTGAGCAAGAAGTGAGGTTTTGTGTCTTTTATATCATTCTCACAATAAAATCAAGAGTAAATACAATCTGTTGCACTATAATTTAATATAATATAACAATCTATTTACCTATTTCTTGTGGTGGTCCGGGGGACACGCAATAAACACACCCACGTTCGAACTCGGACCTCGATCAACTGACGCCACGGTTTCGCCGAAATTAAGATGGCGACTAAGTCTATTCGCTTACTGGTATAAATAGCTTTTTGTCATTATAGCTATCGCGCCATCTCTGTATTGTTGCTAGAACTTTTTACCGGTTGTCCGATAGACTTAAGCCACGTAAGATTTTACGGGGACAAAAACTTAATGCAAAAAAATCCTAAAATGGATAAAATAAAAAATATCGATACGTTTTTTTGACAACAGTTATAATCATAATGTTTAAATATGTAATTACAAATACCTGCTGGATATTGATTTTTTTCGTGGCATGAAATACCATGGTGCGACGTTACTTGGGGACAAACGTTAATACTATGGATCGAAGTTTTGGGTCACTCGGACAACCATTAAATAATGGATAAATTTGTATATTTAGTAAAGATGTTGGTTAATGATATATTTATTTTAGTATTCATTTTAAGAAAACTATACATAAAACAATTATAGTTTTAAAGAATTCTTGTTAGTGGACTCACTTTGTCTGGGACACAATGAGTTGGTCGTCGGACAAGTAAAAGTTGATTGACCCACCTAATATTTTGTCAAAAATGTCTGAGTTGTGAATGTTGCTACGTTCTAATGTTTACTAATTGCGTTATTGCATTCTTTATTCCTATTTTGACCGTTGGCCTACTACTGTGGAAATCATTTTTTATTCATATACATTTTAATAAGGACAGGCGAATTTGATTATTTATATTTGATTAAAATGAATAACTTTAATAGTTATTTTTGATATAAGTGCGGAAAGTTAGTCATTATTCACGAGTCTCGAGGCTTCTTGGCCCGAGCCATAATAAAACAGTATTTAAACAAAACTCATTTTCTGCTAGTAAATTAAAATAATGAAATACAACCACTGCAACCATTAGTTAAAAGTCTATGGAAATCTAGTTCTAACGTGCTGTTTTTGTTTATTTTCTGTAATATCGGTCTGTAACCACTTTTCTTATTATGAAGTCCTGGTACTTTTGTTTAAACTTCTTTAGGAACCCGTGCACGGTACTGAGATACAATTTATCTGTAATACATAGAACAAATATATACATAAAAATCTCGCCTGTCACCCATTCAGGGGTAGGCAGAGACTGTGGACCTCCACTCGATACGTTCATTATATAGTATTTGTAAATAAATATAAGTTTTAATGACGAATGACTTACGTCACAAAGCACATAAATATTAAATAAATATACAACTTCTTTCGTGCTTAAGATTTGAAACAACAGTAAATTTAAAAAAAATGGAAAAGTAAAAAGCACTAGAGCGAGAAATCCAACTTTCCGCACGATTTGTAGTGCGAAAAATACCACGTTTTGAGCAACTGCATTAAAAAATATGTTTCCTTTTTGTGTTTTTAATAGATACAATTCTAAAGGTAGTGTTATGTTAATTCTAAATGTATGTACCTTACAAAAATGGACAATCCAAATGAACTTGTGCCCTGTAGTTAAACGAATAATGGGTGGATGATGATTCAAATGATACAAGTTCAACTTTTTATTGCATAAGCGTAATCAACATTCAGTCGATAGTTGATATAATATTTATCGACTGCAATCACTAGCTGCTCGCAAGCGGGCAACACTTTTGCGCAATGAACTGTCATTTTACTCCATCTTAAAAAAACACAGACTAAGAGTCGTATTCCAGAACTCTACGTATGATTTAAAGCACTAGAAGTCGTACTTAAGTCCTTGTCATTGGGGTCGTATTTCCAGTGCTTGAAATCATATTCAAGTTCTGACTTGAGCATTGAGTAGAGTTCTGGAATACGACCCTATAACTATTATTGACACAGGTGAGTCATCGGCAATCTTGCAGGCATTGAACGGCACGTACTAAGCCGACGTTCAAAATAACATGCCAGTGAAACCCTGGTTTTTTTAAGTTTCGCGAAGCTAGTAAGGCAGCCACTTCAACGATCTATAGACTGAGACTGGGCCACTCTTGTTCCCCTGTGCTCCTCAATAAAATCCGTGTCAGACACAACTCTTTGTGCGAATGTGGTCTGGGCGAGGATACCCTTGATCACATTTTCTTTGAATGTCCTAAATTGACTTCGTCCTAGTATGACCTCCTTCCTTCCTTCATGCCTCGTCCTATTAACCTTAAACCCATCCTTCTTTATGTGTATTCTCCCTTTATTAACATTTTGTGTGATTTTATATGTTCTGATAATATAATAATAATAATAATATAATGCTTTAGTTGGTTGTTTGTCAATGATTGTTTTTTTTTACCCCAGGCATGATCTCCACAACAGCATTCCGTCGAAGAGATTCATCTAAAAATAAATACCTTGCTGCTACCGAAACGTTGACGTTATTAAACAATATTAACTAACAACATTAAACAAAACTGACACAGGCCCAAGCCTAGTAGCCACCATGAAGGAAATAGAACAGAACTATTATTGATATTATGATATAATCTAATAAAGGTTACTAAATAAATGTACTACATTTCATTTAATTAAATTAAACGCACGCACGCACAGACGCACGCACGCACGCACGCACGCACGCATGTGCATCGTGTATGATCATTCTTATACGATAAGAAGGAGAACGTTAATGTTTAATATTACAAGCTACTCTCTGCTTTTATCTATGTAATTGTCGAGAGCATAATCAAAACCCACATAGCTGACACATGCATTGTCTACAAAAAACAATACAAAACAAACATCTCAATACAATTGAAACTCACGGTGTCGACTTCCCGGCACACTCTTTGCAGCTTCCTGTTCCTTATTGAACGGATTGTATCTTTGACCCCTTGGTGGCACCTGCGGCCCGTCGTCTGGTGGAGTCAAGGTCACCAGGGCTGCTGCAGCTTCCTCAGCTGCCTCCACTGGCAAAGGGTAGTAGAATATGGACGTCATTGTGAGACACTTTTAACTTCAGAATCCTTTTTAACGCACAATAACGCCAGTGTTATTTTAACGGATCTAATTTAATTTTGGTTTGGAAAATTACGGCACGCTTTCCTCTGATTGCAAAATTCATAACCAGAGTGTTCGCAGAGTATATTTACTAAAATTTGAATGAATAATACATATACATAATACATAGAGTGAATAATACCGCCCTCTGGAATCTCGGAATGATTAAAAATAAAAAGTAAAAAATCTAAATTAAATTATTAATACAAAGCTCGCACAACACTAAAAAAGTTCCTTCGATCTGACTGGACACGAACCAGCGTCTATTGCTACACCCGGGCCACCGCTTTTACCAATTAAGCAACATAGGCTAAATCGAGTCCAGTCAGATTTTGCGTTGTTTAATGTTTGCATCATTAATAAAAAACAAACTAGAGGAATATTTACACAAAAATATACGAAAACAATGGTTGTAAAAATATCATGATATTCAATCAAATGAATATTGATAAATACTTGTATTTTTACTTACAATTACAAAAATTTTCTTCTAAACACATTATTGCAGTAAAGTAATTAATAGTAACACATCAAAACAAAATAGAATATTTCCGAAAGAGGTATAATTCACTCTGTGTCTGCATTGCTTCTTTGATGTTTAGGTAAATATACTCCGCCTATATCAATCTCCATAACAATAGTTTAATAAATCAATAGTTCAAACAGGTTGGTTCCTTTTTTTAACATTGTCTAATTGTGATTATAACACTTTATTCTTTTCACGAGTTATTCGCGAGATGAGAGTGTGTATTTACTTTAGCAATAAGGCGAATGACTGATTACACTACGTTAAGATTAAACAAACACGTATACAACTCATAACACAAACAAGATGCAAAATAAACGGAATGTTGTACACTAGTTTCTTAATATGTTTTTCTTGCTTAAACATTCCGCAATCGAGAAAGTAATTCTAAGTCGCGAGAAGTTGTGTGCGTGAAATAATTGTTTAGTAAATTCAATAATTTCTCGCTCCAATGGAAGTACAAACATTTGATATTCTATGATAAGATAATGTTATTCACAATGAACAACAGCTGTTATCTGTTTTCAAATACACCTTTTATGTTTTGCATTGTATTGAAAAAGTTTAGAAACAACATAATGCTGAAAACCCTTATATTATGTGGATACTGACAACCTCACAAGATTGTTTTAACTCATTAAATTTTACTATCGCACAAAAATAAAAATATTTTAACGGATCGCTTCAAACTGTGGTAACTCCAAACTGTGATAACTCTGTGCGGTAACAAATGCCAAAACGCAGGAGTGTTTGAAGTTACTACCTTACTACCAAATACATACATTTTGGATGTCTTGAAATGAAACATGTATATTATTTTAAATCTGACATTCACATGTCTGTGTATGGCAAGCACGATAGGGTGCGACTTGCGCGAGAGCTACATAAATATCCTAAGTCTTAAGTAACTTTTGCTTTTAAATTGTGAAAGTTTTCTAATGCTACAAAATGCACACATTACCACGGTTTCAATCAATTTGGGAAGTGAATTTTTTGGGTAGTGCCTGTTGCTCTGGTATATGTAATGTAGGGTTGTATAGCCGGGCAGACGTCTAACACATTATTGTTATTATTTATTCAATTGATCCGTGGTGGTACACACAATGCGGTAGCCAGTTTGTTAGTATGAGTGACTATTCTTTCTTTATAGGACTTAATTATCATAGTTATTACCTCAATAATTGTAGGCATTTGAGGATATTCGTGGATGTATTTTAGTGTACCACAGAGCATTGATGTAATTACTGTTTTGGTATCGTTGCTGAATATCAATGTTTGACCGACTAGCAGTTCCTCTAAGCTCAAAACCGTAAAAATGTAATTAAAATCCATTAGGGCGCATTTATTCGCCACGAATCTCATCGCGGTCACCCCTGCGCGACTCGAGCATCATGGCAAAATACGCTCTATTTATTTAGCTTTTACATTTTAATTTAAATGAACGTATCGGGCACCCGGGTGAGTCAGGCTTGAATTTGGTATACGAAACGCCCGGGCGGCGGTTGTATTATGCAGAGGATATAAATGTTGTTGCCTAGTAAATAAAACTCAGATTCGCCATTAATGTACATGAAGGCGTGGTAACTGGCGGCCGCGCGAAAACTTTCACCTCGTGTAACTGGGCGCTTAGTGTACTGCATGTATTTATTAAACATAACATAACTTTTCTTCGCTCATTCAAAACTTCAATAAAGGGCAATGTTCTCCTTGAATTCCATACAATATTTAGTATGTCGTCATCTTAGAGTGAATACCTCAGATGTGATTTCTATGTAATTGTTCAGGACGAAGGTAAAAATGTAGTGTAAAATGAAATGTTAATAAATGTTTGTAGTTAGCATTTAAATCATATTAAATTATACCCCTTTCAGATACTACATTACTTTAATAATATATTTGTCTAACAAGTTTATGAGTTTTTCTTTGACAAAAATCAGACAAAACAAACTATGCGAAAATGCATACGCAAAGTTTTCTCTCTAAGGCGACAATATAGACCAATGTAGTATTGATAAAAAAAGAAAGGTATTTACCTGTAGCCTCGTCTAGTTGCCTCTGTAGCTCAGAGACCATAAGCTTCATGTAATCGTAGCTGGCGCAGGCTAACGCTTTCATCCAAGCTTCCATGGACGCCTGTGAGTTGGTGCATAAGTAATATGTGCGTCCACCCTCACATTGAAAGACTATTTTGAAACTATATGCTTCCTCTTCCGTTAATTCTGGAATGTTTTAATGTGGGAGCATTATTATACATATGATAACATTGATAAAACATATTCTTATGGAATTCAAAGGGGTAATTGGTTTTCATATAATGAAATGAGTAACCAATTATTATCAAAAATATCACGTTATCAGTACGGGACGGCATTGAATAATGATCAACATACTGACAAGGACAATTGGAACTATTTTAAAAACATAAACTATCTAGTATTACTATTTAAAAAATGAACAATAATCTGAACTAAACTCACCAATAGTACATCCCTCTAGTATAATAACGCCAACGGGTTCTTTGTCGCCGTTTTTTTCAAAGTAAAATAACAGATTCCCTTTCAAAACAAACCATCTTTTTTGATAGCTTTTACCGACTTCTCCGCGTAGTTCCAACAACCCTTCACGGTCTACAGGAGTCGTTGAAGACGCGAAAGCGCAAAGATTCTTCTCGTTTATCTTCATTTTTGAAAATTATTTAAGGAAAAACATCGAACTATGGTAAACACTCCTCGACGTTTTGATACTTAAAAACTACAATCTTATAACTTATGTTGTTAAGGTTTAATTCCGCTATGACAGACTTGCGAGTGGAATTAAGTGAAAGTGAATTGATTTTCCAGTTGTTAATTCCCTTCACTGAAAATACAAGCGCTAATAATAAGCCCGCTGTAATGTAAAAGTAAAATCAGCAGCTGTCTCCGACGTTAGCTGTCACTTGATTTGGGGACATAGTCGTTTTCTGGCCAATTCTGTCTGTGTCTTATTTGTGCAAACCAAACGAATTTTCACTTTACACACATTTTAGCTGAATTCTCGTCTCGGCGCGTTTTGTAACGATGGTATACAACTGATATTGACCACAATATTTTTTTCAAGCATCAAAAATTTGGATATCTTAGACTAGTGTTAGCAAGTAAAATGAGTGAAATAAGTGATTCCTTCCGCCGCTGCCTAATAGACGTATTTAAAAATATAAAGGATACAGTGCTATAACTGACTGACCTGACTATTTTTTTTCATCCTCAATGAGTTAGCTTGTAAGGAACACTTTGTTTGTTAATTACACAACTTAGAGAGATGGCTGTAGAGGAGTATTTTCGTTTTGCAAAATCAAAAATTATTTGGTTGATGTGTTTGAGAGAGGTCGTGGATAGTGAGCGGAAGTTATAGATACTTGTAATATAAATAAATTATTAAATCATGATTTATGATAGTGTACAAGGCGAAGGAGGTTTATCAGGAGCGTAGCAGATAGAGGATCACGGTCCCGTGGTCCACTCAGGTGAACCAGCTAGGTGATCCACTGGCAAGAAGCGGTGTGTGTATATATGTGCAAAATCTAAAATCAAATGCCCTTACTTTTATAATACTGGCGGAAAAGGCAAAATGTTAAAAAAACAAATACATTTTTTATAAGACATAGTACATTTATTAAATAAATTACATTCATTACCTATGACTAAAATAAAGTACGTAAATATTTATTTTTAATGCAATATTATTGAAGTTTTTAAGTTTTTTTTAAGAATTGTTTTAGCTAAAGTTTTGTATGCCGTAGGGAAAACAATCTGATTAAGTTAGGTCAGGTAAGCTGTGTTCCAAAACGACTATAGGAGGAGTGTGAGCTTTAGCCTTGTGATCGGCAATAAAAGATTTTATAAATTTCTTCTGACAAACATCGCATTCGACTGGTGTATTAGCTTCCATTAAAAACATTTCTTTCGCATGACGTTTCTTCATGTGTTCCCTGAGACCAGTTGTTGTTTGAAAAAACATTCTGCAGTAATCACATTTATGAGGATAAGTTTTAGAAAGAGGAATACCTGAATCATAATCCAACTTCCCTTTTTTCTTGTTTCCCAAATGTACTATCCTATGGTGTCTATCTAACTCGTATTGTACGACAAATTTGCTGTCACAAAGTTCACATTTCAATTTTAAGTCCTTGTTATGTCTTCGCATGTGTATCCGCCAACTCGAAATACGATCGTATCGACTATTGCAAATGGTACAAATGTGTTTAAAATTTCCTTTAAATTCTGGGCCTTCTAGTGGTTGAGATGGAGTTTGTATCTGCTCGATAAGTCCAGCTTCCCTCATTTCTTCTACAAATTGAGGAGAAGGTTTCACCCTTCTACTGTCAGTCTGTGTTTTCTTGTTTTTAAACTTTCTGGTCCGACTTCGCCCATCTAGCGGCACTGAAACTTTAACTAATTCTTCTATGGAAATATCTTTATCTAATTCCTCTAAAGATGTTTCTTTAAACTCAATGTTTGTAGAGAGATTTCGTTTTACAGCGCCATCATCTTCATCGATATTATCAAAGTCGGCATCAAATGTATTTGTAGAAACATTTCTGCAATGAAGATCTTTAGCGATTGATTCCTCTAAATTGGATACAATTTCCATAATGCGTTCAGCATCTTTTGTATTTGTGTGTAGGTTAGAAGTAATAATATCCAACATTGAATCTGTGAGAATACTTTGATCACCATCTTGGGCCTCTGAATTTTGGTTTATTTGCTCCTCTTCATTCCCAATTATCTGTATGTTTCCACTTAAAGTTTTTATTGTTGGTCTATCAAATTTGGTTATTTTGCCTTCAGTTGTTTTCTTGCAAACTACGTCCTGTAACACAAATTTGCCCAATTCACATAAATTTTGGTTACTCGGTATTTCAAAAGCATCTGGATCCGACAACACGTTAGGTTTTGCGCCCGTTAAATCAAAATCTGTTAACATATTTAGAGCTGAAACATTGTTAACGCTTGTTGGCAGTTTTTCGGTTTCGATGGTCTTATGTTTTGACTGTGTCGTTGTCTTCATTTTTGGATCTTGGACTTCACCTTTGTCTAGGATCTTGGAATACGTAATTTGCATGTTACCCTCAGAATCTCTAGTAAAATATTCGATTTGAACATTGGTTGATTCAATTATATTGATTTTATTTCTTCCAGCATTTTTTGGATTAACGTCATCTAAACTCCTTCTGCATATAATATTTGAATCATCCACTTCCATACTACTACTTATTTGTGTCACAGTATTCGGTTGCAAAAAATTTAAGTCGATTTCCGAGTTAGATTGTGGATCAATTACACTTACACTATCTTCTATAACATTTGGATCTAAAACATTGAAACAGTTTTCTAAGGCCTTAGGATCAAATTCGTCATTTTCTAAGATATCTTCTGGGTCCACGTCTTCCAAAACTTTTTCTATTTCGACACTTGTGTTTACGTCATCCAGATCAACCATGTCCATATTATTTTGTAAAAGAACTGATTCCAAATCCACAACATCTTTTGGGTTACTAAAATCTGTATCAACATTTGATTCAGGAACTTCCACATAATTTTCCAGAGCGTTTGATACAAAGTCATTATCTAAAATAGCATTTGAATCTTCCACATCCATACTACTGTCTAAGGCAATCTCGGAATGAACATCTTTCAAGTTGATCTCTGTATCTTTAATTATATCTAGCCCTTCGATTTCAGCACCATCTTCTAAATAAATGGATGGATTCACATCTTTAATGTCCAAATACGGTAATTCACTCAGTTCCTGTAATTTTCCCATTTCCACTATATTAGTTTCAATTTCTTTATTATTTTCTAAAAGTTTAACCCTATTGTGTACATTTGGCACATCATTTTCTACATCTACACTTGTAACACAATTATCCTCCGTAGTTGTTATTGGTGGTATATCTAAATTGTTGTTCTCGATGTCATCTGAGCCAAGCATCGAGTTTAAATCAGTTGATACAGTCTCAAGAACTTTAGAAAGTTCGTTATAGTCAATTTCCGGTGGACCATTTACAAGCACCTCTGAACTTTCTTCAAGAATATTAATATTACTAGGTGAGGGAATTGTGAAACGTGACTCTTCAACATTGTCGGAATTTATAAGTTCACTAGTAACTTCTATTGTGTTATTATCCCTTAGCACGCTAGTATCGTCAACGCGTGCATTATCTTCATTCCTAAATACAATTTCGGAATTATTTGTAGAATCGTCGTCAATAATTATAACATTAGGATTTATATATATTCCTGAATTAATTGAAATCTTGGTTTCTGCATTTTGTCCACTTCCTACAAATTTACTTGGTACATTTTTTTCTGGTGTATTTGTATATAACTCGTCATCAATAATTATAGGTTCACCATCTAAATCTAATGTTTTTAAACCGCCTTTAGGCCTTACACTTTTAATGTTTTTAAAGTTATTTTGGCAATTAATGGATTTTTTTCTAGGAACAGATATTACTTCATTTGGCACTTCGTTCTCATCATCAAGATCTGGCCCATCGGCAAGATTGATGAAGCAGACTTTCATTGGATTGTTATTCTTAGTTTGGTTTGCACTACAAACATGTGACTGCAGTTCTTGATCAGCTTTAAAATCCTTGTTACATTTTGCGCAAGACTTGACTGTTTCTGTAGTATCATTACCATCTGGTACATCTTCAAAGACTGAAAATTTGAAAATGGTTGGTAATATAATTAGGGAAACCTTCTTCATAACTTTTTGATTTTTTTAAAAGCCAATACAACCTAAATGTTTCTTTCTCGAAGACAATGATAGTGTGTTTTCAACATAAGTGAATTATTTCGCAATCGCACTCATCCGAACGCAAAAAAATACTTAAGAGACTGAACAAGAGATAAAACTGTACCTACCATAATCCCCTGTACTAACAGTCCATCCGTCCCGAGGCTTCTCTGCGACTCCTTTCGCCTCATCCGAGTACAAATCAATCATATCTCTCAATCTCATATAGTAACTTTCCAAGCTTTGATTGTTTGTACGCACTATCGACCCGTCTGTATCCAGCCCGAATTGGCGACTCATATTTGCGAAGTATTTTTAAAATTTGCTGTTTGATATCGTTCATTGAATTTTAGTAAGATTAGAGTAGATCCTGGCAATTGTTTTAAACTAAAATTTGATTACAGAGTTTGCAAATTCTTTTTGCGTAGGTGTTCAACTGAAAATCCCCAACATGGCGAAATAGATTTATGTTCCAGCTGTACAATATTAAAACTAGTATTGGTAAATTGTTATTATGAGCGAAACCAAACCTTTTTGAACATACGTTATTAGGAAAAAACACGAGCAAAGCGAATAACACAGTAAAAAAGACAAATCCCAATATCAACGAAAATAATAATACGGAGCACAGCTGATTGGAGTCATTGCGACTTTGACTTTATTTATTTTCTGGGGCCAAAGAATGCAAACAGTGTTTCAGTCTTCTTTCGTAGTAATTTGGTGAAAATAATAAAATGTAGTGAAAAACTGCTCCGCAATCAATGATCTTATGATTGTAAAGTATTAAAAGCAAGCAAGAACATTGATTTTTTTTCGTTGTTATTTTATGAACTTTTTCCAAAATTTAATTACATTCAATGTTTACATGACGCCGAACGCGAGACTAGGATTGATTCACTTTTCTACTTTCTTAAGAAGGATATGATTTGAAAAGTAGGAAGATATTAATTTGACCATTAAAATTAAAATGCTCATGATAAGACCATCTCAGATTACGGTTAGTCAAAGTATAGTAATTTTTATTTCGCCTGTAAAAGTAAGGCTCGGTTTACATTGCCGAGGAACGAAAGCATGCAGTTGCTGTGCGAGAAAGCGCGCGCCGTCACTGGAATATTCGAGTAGGTCAAAGAGGATCTAATCACTACGTGAGTACCTACTCACGTAGTGATTAGTTCAGGCTAGAATTTTTACATGATAAGAATGATGAACTTGGATATTGATTTACATTCGCTTATTTGTGCAGCCGAAGAGAAATGGA